TTTTACACACCAGCTCTTCACACGAGTTCGTATTGCTTCTGTCCATTCATTTCACAAGCTGAAAATACTCTGCTTACTCAACCTTTGAAGACCGTGACAAATTATTGTACTATAAAAAATTATGTCAGATTTAAAGTCTGAAATTTTTAGCCCAAACGCCTCAGTTTAAATCGTTACATCATGTGAGACTTTTTGTATTTTTATTAGCTCTGCGGATATTAATTGCTTTGCCTGTCCTCACATTAAAAAAATTGGTTGAAATCTGGGTTGCCACCTGCTTGTCATAACTTCTACAATTGCTACATTCTTTGTGAAATTATCTGAATATGTTTTTATTTTTTATATTTTGATAGCGTGTTTTTGTTGGAGACGTTGCTTAAAAGTTTTTGAACACCTATGTTTTTAAATACTTTAGTATTTTTATTACTTTTCTTACAATTTATGTGGGAGGTATAAGTTTTGATAATCATATTTTTTAACCGCCTATCAAAATAATAATTGGCTTTGTAGCAGTTGGCAAAGTAGCGAACTGTTTGATTTGAAGCTGCTCAAATGTAGGTAATAAAACCGGCTATTTATTTCTATTTTTCATTTTTAATGCAAGCTTCAATCTCTGAAGAGTTAATTTCCCACCAATAGGTATGATATATTTTCTTGAAATTGGAATGAGACCAAAAACAAGAATTTTCTAAATGCAAATGCCGACCAAAAAAGTTAAAGGTTAAATTATTGTGTTTCATTATAAAAATTATTTATTTTTATTAATTGAAAGTGAGAAAAAATCTACCAAAACCGAATGAACAAAAGAACTAGTAGATACTACACTATGGTTCTGTATATATTTCTCTTATAGTCGACAGCCCTATTCATGTTATATATTTTCCCTAACTGGCATCCTGCAGCAGAACCAAAACAAAACGTGCTATGCACTTAGCTATTTGGGGAATAGAAAATAGGTTTTATTTTTAGTCTCAGTAATGACATTAACTTTTCTTCTTGGTAAATCATCATCATCATCATCAACAGCCTTTAACAGTCCACTGCTGGACATAGGCATCTCCTTAGAGATGAGGTTTAGGTCTACTATACCACGTTGGCCAGACGGGTTGGTATAGTGTTTGTGTCAAGTTTGCCTTCTCTCTGCAGTGCTGTTGTTATGCGTAGTTTTTTCCCTAAGTCGGCTCTTACGACACCCACGGGATGAATAGGGGTGCTGACACTCTGTATTCTTAAAGCGTCACCACAAAAAAATAAATACCACTCGGTTTCACATATTAAGTAACATATTAAACGTAAAGACTTTTGTGTTTGTAGATAAGACTATAATTTTTTTTAGAATTTATTCTTTCATTTTTCTCTAACTTTTGTTAGTTCACAGTTTACTCCCTTTCTAGTCATATCCTCTTTTACACTGTAGATCCCTCCTTTTTTTGGTTGTCCCTTGTTTATATGAAGCTGTTACCTTTGTGTGCAATAATCAATCGCTCTTTTTTTTTTTTCTAACCTTTACTATCACAAGTCAACCACATCCAGACTTATATTATAAATGTTTGTTTATTTGTTACGCGCTCACGCCTAAACCGCTAAACCGATTTTTGAATTCTTTCACCAATGGAAAGCTACATTATCAGCGAGTGGCATAGGCTACTTTTTACCGCGATAACTGTCTTACACGCAGGCGAGCCCCGGGCAAAAGAAAGTACCTATATTATAAACTAGCTGGTACCATCGGCTTTTTCGGATTGGAATCGGATTTGAAAAGCGCTGGCTTCTGCTGATTCCCGGACCGGGCAAAATGTAAAACAGCCTAAGTTACTCCTTATATAGACAGCTACCTGATACTGAAATATGATCAAAATCGGTCAAGCCCTTTTTGAAGATTACCCGGAACAAACAGACAGGCAGACAAAACTATTTAAACTGGTTTTAGGCATAGGTATCGTACAAATGACCGCGTGAGCATAAAAAAACTTATTGTTTTGACATTACAAATAGACACTTTAATTTTTATTAATTTGATGAATAGATGTTAAGTTAAAGAGAATTTCTTTTTTACGCTGCCAAATAATAGACTATAAAACATCGTGTGTGCGTGTGTGTGTGTGTGTGTGTGTGTGTGTGTGTGTATGTATGTGTATGTGTGTGTGTAGGGAAGGCCTACATACGTATATATATCGTTGCATTGCCACCATTTGGGCACATCTTTACATAATATAAAAAGAAGTCGCTTTTTATTTTCTTATACGCTTCGATTTTTCGAACTACGCAACGGATTTAATGCAGTTTTCACAAATAGACATAGTGATTCAAGAGACGGATTTATATGTAGGTATAATACATACTTATTATAGTAGAGAAAATCGGCGAATTTCAATGATTTCTGATGTGAAGTTGTGAAAAACATGTTTTTGTGCGCTTACATTGCATAGGTACATCCAAATCATGTACCTACTATGGAACTGTATATCTAAAAAGATCTACAAAAAAGTCCGCGATGGTATATGTCTATCTCCCAAGGACAACCCGTAGTAACCATTGTTGTCATTTACATATTACAAAGTAATAGGTAATTTACGAAGGTATTTTGAACAATACAGTATTATTTCTTATCCAAATAAATACGTTAAGTATGTTGTATATTTATATAATTAAAATTAATATCTTAGAAGATATCAGAGATTTAAAATGCTGGGCAAAGCCGTCCGTACGTACGTCCGTCCTGGGTGGCAGCGGCTGGCAGGAGCGGAGCGGGCCTATAAATATTGCATATAAAGATTTCCTGTAGTAAAGTCTTATCTTAATAATAGTATAATTAATTACTTCACACCGTGCTCCACACTGAAACCACAAAAGTATTATTAGTAGTATCTACATTGCACCCGTGCGAAGCCGGGGCGGATCGCTAGTATATTTCTAAATAAACATTCATATATATTCCTAAATGCTTAAAAATTATATACAAATCACACCCAGACATAGAACAAGTGGTCGTACTAATCACACAATATTTGTCCTGAGTGGGCAGTGAATCCACGACCTATCACTTAGCAGTCGGAATACCTAACCACTAGATTTACAGGCCCGATGGAGAAGGCTAGTAAATTATAATCGTCACAGAACGTCGTTAATTTTGGCCCAAAAGAGCATAATCTTTTTTATATTTTAACTTCTTGAACAAACAAAAATAACACACATGGCTACTTACGTGTAATAGATGCCAACGTGTGGCGGCAAATAAAATTGAGTTATTTCAAATTTTCAAAAGTCTTACCAAGAATGTAATCAATCAATATTAGTAATGCCTAATGAATTAATGTGTTAGGTTAGCGCTAATGGATTGGAGCCAAGATTTAACAACCGTATCGGCCAAAACAAGCTTGAAGTATTTGTAAATACGAAACGAAAAACGTGTCTATTTTTCAATTAAATGCATACTCATAGAGATTTTATACTTCACTTTATAATATTTGAGTTGATAGTAACACAAGAAGAATGTTTACAAGAGTTGACTTACATTTATAACTTTTTTTTTAATATTTTGAGAACTCCCGCATTAAGAATACATCCTGTTTCGCGGGGTACTTCACAAATATACATGGTCCCGTTTACACGGAAGTTGATTTTGGGTTGAAATACATTAAAAATAAAACTATATATAATTTAAACATATATTGTGTATATACATACAACATAGATATATATTCATGTCGTAACTCTTCGAATAAAAAAAACCTGTTTTAATAAAAAATAAAAAAGTTTTCGAATTTTCACTTCTGTCGGCACTGGTAGGGGGGGTGAAAGAACAGACCAATCGACTCTAGTGAATAGCTAGACACAAGTGGGTTCCATGTACATATCTCTTAATCTGTCAGTGGGTTGCCGCTCCTTGAGTGCTACCACCCCGAAAAATTAAGGGTGAGGGGGGTAGGTGAGTCCTCACTCTCTTGTTTAGGGTGTATTATTTATGGTCCTAACTCACTCTGTGAAAAGCACGAAGGAAGTGATTACCACCGGTTTTCTGTGAGGCCGTGGAATCACCGGCCGCCCGGCGGGCTGGCTCACTTGTGCATCGAAGCATGGCTCTGCCACGCACTGCACGGATGTAAGTCCTTACAGTATTTATGTTGATTCATTTGAATGCAAAAACAAAAACTGTCTTATCTACGGTCAAGATTCGTCTTTAAATTATATTATTATAAAACACACTATACCAAGTGTGGTATGCTTTTTTTTATACATTTTCGACCTGTGTTATATAAATCTGGATGATTCATATCCAGATTTATATAAACGGTGATCAGCTTTTGTATCATCATCAACAATACACTGCTGGACATCCTATAACAGTCCACTGCTGGCCTGCTATACCACGCTGGCCAGACGGGTTGGTACAGGGTTTGTTTCAAGTTTTCCTTCATTTTGCAGTGCTGTTGTCCTGCGTAGTTTGCTCCATAAGTTGGCTCTTACAATACCTATGGGATGGAAAGAGGTGGTGACAGTCCAAATTCTTATTCAGTCACCACACGGAAAGATTATAGAGTTAATAAAAAAACTCCTACTGCTTTTACAGCCAAATATTTAGAGTATCCGTTGAATATAAAGATTACGCCATTACTTTTAGTTATAACCATGTAATAATCGAGTACTATTATTTGCTAAGCTAACAAAAAACAGATTCATTAATTTAAAAAGAGGAAATTTTATGTAACAGCTGCGATAATTCAGAGAGGAAATAAAACAAAGAAAAAAGATGTTAAGTATGATGGTAAACTAAACAGTTTGAATTGTTTAAAAGAACAATTTCACAAAGAGTCTTTATTTTTTTTATGCAAATGGCATAGCCATTGTTTCTTTTAGAATTTTAGCGCCAATTTTCATAGGAATGTTTTACAGTTAAGGCGGGAAGTCCAGTGCTGTTTATTTCTTTTTCTCTTTCTCTCATAGCCAAGAAGTTTTACTACAGTCGTGAGGTCTAAAGCACACTCGTTTTTCTTTTTCAGATAAATGACGGAGCGGCGCTCATTTTTGCTGACGAGTTCAAGCAGACTCTAGATAAATATCTGTTCGGTATTTGCCCACAGACTTACAAGGTAAATAACAAAATAACCCATAAAACCTACAGTTGGCGAAAGATCAGAGACAGGATTCACGCGTTGCTTATGCTATTACTCTTTCCAAAACAGCCAAAAAGACATTACTTTCCAGTAGGAACATAATTTAACGTACTTTAATACTTTGTGTTTCCTTTAGTCCTCTGTTGAGTTAATATTGCCATATTACTGGATATTTAAATCTGGAATCTAACGAAAAGTCACAAAACCTCAATCAACTATTAATTGCATAACCTGTTTTTTATTTTTATTAAATTTGATTTTTCCATTTGAATACTATGAAATGTAACTTTTAATTAAATACCAAAAAAATGATCGTTTCTTACAATAGTCACATATGATTTGTAACATCTCACATTCCACCTACTGTCTGACAGACAACTCTTGCACCTCATTGGTCAATTTAAATAGCGCGCGCTTCCTTGGCTTTTTGTTACACATTTCCGTCCCTTCTCAAGATATTATACATCAAAAAAATTGAAACGTTTTTAAAATATTAATTCGTGCGTAGGCATAATTTCATTTAGAGCAAAGCAATAAAAACCATATGGTTATGTACACTATTACGGAGCATAACAAAATGTGTGTTTTAGTCGGTGATTTCATCCGCCATTACATTTCAATTTACGACACACACAACCTTTGTTTTAAGTCGTGCTATTTGCTAAACATTTTCGCGTACGTATTTATTCCAACTTTACTTTGGTGCACACTGCGTGGACGTAGGATAAATCTGTAAATGCGACTTACACACGTTGAAGTACTGTGTATTAATAATACACATTAGCGCACATCATCCATTTCTGCGACAAATCCTCTCAACCATTAAACAGCTGTTCCGAATGAATTAATGTTGAAGTAAAATTAGAAAATAACACAGATAACGTTGAAATGTACTTAAATAAGAGCTATTTTAAAGCAGTCATGGAAATACATAAAGTATTTTAGTTTTGGTACCATCGAAAAATGTAAAATCAAAAAGTGTAAAAAGTATAGGTATAGATAATTCCTAAACTTGTTTAAGGATCTCCTCAGATAGCGTAATGTAGAAGTACTATGCGGAACTACTGTAGGCATAGACTATCTGCTAAGAACTTAGAACAGACAATATCAGTGCTCAGGAACAAATCACTGTAGTGATGAGCGATGAGACCGCGCTAAGTCGTAAGAACCTATTTTTTGATGGCAATTTGATGCATAAAGTTTAAATTTCTAACAATAAAAGATTTCATCATTTCAAACGTACGCGTAATATATATCTCTACAATTTATGGAGGATCTACGATGTACGGATAAATTTACTCGTTTCAAGACTGGTTTTAAAAGTTTAATAACACATGTAAGTATTTTAAAAAAAACTATTCACTTTTCGTCAGGCGCTAAAAATGAAATTTCTGAATTTTTCTCAAAAAAGAATTAAACTTTTGCATTTCTAATGATGAAATCTTTCCTCCATTAAATAAAAACTATTCGCGACAAAAATGCGGTTCTAACGACTCTATGGTAAAAAATCGATTCGATAACAAGTTAATTTTTTTTTTAAATCTTTTATTTTACTTGTATGATGAGTAAGTAAAATAATAAGTAAAATTTATAAAAGTTTCAACATTTAAGCAGATACGAAATATTTCTTTTAATTTGTTCCAATTGACATTTACGTGTAGGTAATCGTTTTTTTTTATAATGAAAATAATAATCATTTATTTCAGACCAATGACTCAGTCCATAGTGTTAGTTTGTTAGCAAAAACAGTATTATTACTATCGATTAAGGATAGACTTTGAATGAATTTAGTATATACATGTAAATAAACTATGTACTATTTTATCACACACACACTCACACACTCAATAAAAAACAAAACATTTCATTTTTTGACGTGTTTACAGCGACCTGTTCGCAGATTAAAAGCAAACTCAGTAAACTGGAAACTTGTATTTTGGTTAAATCGTTTAAAAACTGTCATGATAGGAAACGTGAGGTGCCAAATAATATATATAATAATATTCTTATTGAATAAAGTTAACCATACAATAAGCAGAAAATTACACAATGACTACATTTAACAATAATAAGTTGTAATGAGTAGTATGGCATTCAATTATATAAGCCCCCTGATCCTCAAACTAGGATTTCCTGTTTTTTGAGAATCAGTATGACATGGTAATGACATGGTATATCAACGTCAAAAAAATCTTAGTCTGGTATCTATTACTACATCTAAATTTACTTGCCGCGGAGCCTAAACCGATGAGGCTACAAAATTTTGACAGCTTTTGTTTTTTTATGTTGTAAGCACCCACTAAGAATTTTTTTTGTGAAATCCCTAAGACCCCTAAGACATTTTCAAAGCGAAGCCACGGGCAAATTCTAATTTCAAATATATACATATCCTGCATATATATTATTGGGTAAGGCTCAGTAGGCGTCTATTTAATATTCATTGAAGTAAGGAATCAAAATATTATCTCACAGTCTCGTTGGCAGATGCCGCCGAAGGGCAAAAATTCCACCACAGTTCCCTGCGACCTCGACGTGGACCAACAGGAGTTAGCGGGAAGGTAAGTTTACAAGCCTTCTTTTGTGAAACCTTTCGAGTTACTAAAGTTACTATTGAGAGTAGTAGATTACAGGAAATATAAAAAATACAAAATACCGGGTCGCCGGTTCTTTACCTGAAGTATTGACTTCGATCACTAAATAAACGTCATTTTTTTGTGCGGTAACCTCCATGGGTCAGTACCTCACCGAAGTTAAACGGTGTGTAAAGTGGTATGTAGATTTCGAATCATCCAAAACTACAAGGTTTGCCGTCAACCGTGCCAGGAATCCTGAGTACCTTAACTGGGATGCCTCTAGAAATAATCGCCATACCGGAGAGCATGGAATCCGGACAGGCCCAACCGTGCTAGAACGCAAACTTAGACTTACAGGCTATACAGGTACTTGCCGTAAACAGTTGTGACCAATCTTCTACCTAAAAACTATCTGAGTCCGTTAACAGGCCATCATGTCGCCTCTCTAGCTAAACCTATTTGAAAAAGTTATTAGTTATTATGTACAAAAAGTGACCAGTTAATTAATAATAATTTATTGGTCTAAGTATAATTTATTAGTAATAATCTTCACATATTTATGGTATTATTATATTTACAGGCTAGCAACACTAGCTCTCCGTGCGACCATAGCTTCGCGGACCGAGTGCTCCCGCCTCGGTACCGCGCTTGCCAACACTCTCGGCGAGCTTGCGCGGACAGCAAATAACAGACATGCGCTCGCTGCAGGTGAATATTAATGAAATGCCTAATACAGGATTATTCTTTAAGTAACTTAGTAGACTTAGAAATTTATTAATAATTTATAAAGAGTTCCAAGCAAAAGAATAAAAATGTGTGTCACTGGCCTAATATTGATCGTTTCGCCACTCTTTTGTTAACAGAGTCGAAACTCGTTTTCATTTTGAATAAGTGTGTTATATTTAAAGATTTAATAGTAGAACACTATGAGTTTATTATATCGTGTAGGTATGTATTCTTATTCACGACGCTAGTATATCTTGCAATTCGAAATATAATTATTTTTTTAACAAATGACTGCTACTTGCACTCAAATTTTAATTATTTATAACTATGACAACATTCAATTATCTATATACCTACATAACAAAGGCTTCTCTTAAAACTAAGTCTTATGCCATTTATGTAATAATCTTCTTAGCACTTGTATTTTTTTTTGATCTCGCAACTAATTTATGACTTATTTTTCAGCGAATAACGAACAAAAGAAGCAACGGAAACTTTCTAAAAGTCAAAAAATGAAGATCCAAGCGAAACAACGCACAGCTTTAGCCGTTAAAAAGAAGGCAGCCGCCGTCGCAGCGGCCGCAGCAGCCAAAGTGTCTGCTTAAATTTAATTAATGTCAATTTTGTGATATTTACATACATTAAAACTGAAACGTAAAATCTGATCTTTATTATGTTACGTATACAATAGTTGTTCTGCATGTGGTGTCTATTTTACTATTAGTCACGTCGTCTTACAAAGGTTTTTCAGTCGGTATACATGAAACATATTGATACATATTTTACGTGAAAAAATTACTTGTAACAAATAAGCATGTGCCATAAAGTAAAATATTGCGTACACACATATTCTGACCTGTCATGGTACAAAAGTCTAAACTGGTCTAAACAATGAAAGTATAAGTTATAGATATCTAACCAATCTAACAATGAGATTTAACAGCCAACAATCTTATGAAATAAAATTGACAATTTAAAAGAGGTGAGATGAGAGTACATTCTTTTTTATTAGTACATTGTTTGTGCACTCGTATCATGGAGTGGAGTTAAATCATAAACTTTGGACCCTAACCATTCATTTCAAAGACACTTCTACTACGACTTATGGTTGTAGAAAAAAAAAGTCCAACATGGGTAGTATATATTGTGTATTACAGTCAAATTTAAATATGTTTAGCAGCTATTAGGTATAGTTTAACGTGTAAAGTGGACTTCAAGATGTAAGGCGTGCTAATTTTGGACATATTGTCGCATTTCTTTAAACCGTCTTCCAAATAATGAGGTACTATGTACAGCTGTATGTATTTTTATTAAGTATTAATGCGTTAAAAGCATACATTGTCACGAAATACAATAATTAACACTATATTAACTAGGTCTGTAAGTATTTTGTTGTAGAATTCTAATGTTAAGCTATTTATTAAGAATAATTAATGTAATTGTTTTGCAAATAAAGTTATTTTTATAAGACTCACTTATTACATTAAATAATCTCATACTGCATGTTACTCGGTCAATGAGATAAGATGAGATGGCAGTAAAATAAATGGGACCTCTCCCATTTCCTTCCCCTCGCCAGTATTAGCCAGAGTTATAGAATGATCTCCGACTAGCCGGTGTGTAACGTTGATGCTGACTATTACCCTAGCAGAAGCAGTCCTGAGATGGTGGTGCGACAAGCTATGCGTGTGGCTGGCTATGCCGGCCATGGTCTGCCGGGGTTCTCGGAGGCTTCTTTCCGAGTATTTCCGATTCCCTGCAATATACTAAAATCTGACAGGTATTCTGTCAGACAGGTGTGGTTTTAGATGATTCGATTTTAACATACCACCGTGACACAAAAGAACTGAATAAATTGATTGGAATGGATGTAAAAAGGGCTTATTTGCATGAAAAAAGTCACAGCTCACAAACAGACACATGAAATTTGTAGCCAATGTTTTTTGCGCAGGCGCTCCATCATCGAATATAACAACTAAGAAGAGTAATCTATGATTGAAAGACATCAAAGGATAGGAATTAATCTATAGTCTATAGTCATTCTACCTGGGCACGTAGGTACATTTGAGAGTCAAGGAGAAGCACTTTCAGGCAATATGGTCCTTGGACTAAGTCTACACATATAGGACAAAAAAAAAAGAGTTATGGTTGTATTAGATGACAGTTGCTCAAAATGTTGTAAAAAAGCAATAAAATTGTTTTTATTTACAACATTTTCTTCTTAATGTAATCTTATCTAATGCTGCATAGGGCAACCTAGACGCCAGCAGATGCAAATCTGCTGGCGTCTCAAAAGGCTCTCTGATTTCGCCAGCAACTAGTGGCACGCTTGCTATAAGGGTTGTGAAAAATGTGTAGCCTACTTCATTATACGAACTTAAAATATGTTAGAGGGGACTTTTCGTAAGGTTGCACAACTCATTTTCCTAAACCGCGAGTACGGTGCAGATCGCTCCGCACTTACACTCCAATGCTTAACCCATCATGAGGCAGTTTCGCGCGGATTCAAAGAGCCGGCACAGTAAACTGCATTTTTTTTTAAGCAAAAAAAGCAATCAATTAATTAACCGCACCGAGTTAGCCTAACTTAAACGTAAGAAAAGTCGAGTCATCTATTTGTGGTATTGTCTACGGCTAACATGCCAAATTGACAATTTATTAAATTGATAATGCCTATCCAAGGAAATTGACAGATAATATGTCACAAGAAAATATTTATTTATTTTTGTTTCGGTGTTAAAATATAAAAAGAAAAAATACTATTTGTTTAGTTTTTTAAATCTATAATATGCTCCAAAGGCTTGATTTATTGGCAAATATTAATTTTTTACGATCAATATTTAAAATCTACCTCCATACTAACTTTTGTAATCTATTGTCACTAAAGTCACATGCACAAACTAAAGAAAATCTTATTTCCGATCTTACTAGAAAACGGTTCATCCTGGTAGTTCTTTACTCTCGAATCAGATATAATATTTATGTCAAACTACTTTAAACACAAAACTATTGAGTATAACTCTGTAACAAAAAGAAACAAAGAACATAGGACGCCTTAGTTTTAAAACACTAACAAAAACTTTTAAAATTCTTTTAAAGAACTGAAGACAAGTGAAGAAGAAGTTAATATCTATTTGACAAGCATGGAGATGAACCTGCAGCCTATTGTTATAACTGATGTGAATAGTACATTAAATACAATTGCGATAGCTAAAAACAATAATGTACCGTTTGGCACATACACTATGCATAGTCATTTGATAGATCATGACTATATGTAAGTATAGAACTCAGATTTCTCTTCTTAAAAAGACAACTCCCGCATTAGGAATATATCCTGTATCGCAGGGAACTTTACAAACATACATGAAACGGACACAAATAACACCCAGACTCAGAACAACAATTTGTGGATCACACAAAGTGTCGTCCCATGTGGGGTTTGCACAACACTCAGCATAGTAGGAAGAGGCTTGGCGACTGCTTAAACCACTATGCCATCCATACAGTTTTTATTGAAGGCCAATTAATTGTGAGAGTCATCAACGGCCCATTTGACCAACTCCACTGGAGTGATATACACACAAAACTGGAGTTAAACAATTATTTCGTTGCGTTTCACCAATTGAGTCAAGATGCCGGAGGCCACACCCATCCTCCTGGAAGGGGTATACAAAGGCAGTACATTGGCTATAGCTAGTTTTTTTTGTAATTTCATTCCTAATTTTATTGAAGTAATTGTCATTTGTTAATTTTGAATAGCAGAACACAAAACCAAGCCCCATAGGTGACAATAGGCTAGTTCTTTAAGAAAGGGAAATAGCTGAAATCTTAAAAATATCATAACTCTTACCCCTTATTTACAGGTACAGGTAAATGAAACAAAAATAAATATACAAATCACTTAATTTCAGATACCAAAGGCCAAAACCAAGCAGTCATGCAAAAAAACGAAAGAGGCGACTAAAAATAACAGATATCAAAGCTATCTATAATTGTCTTGTATGCGGCTATCGTACCATGAATAGAGACGTACTACAAAAACACGTTTGCATAAGAGATCTGAATTATGATCTAAACAAAAACCTCACAAGGAAACTACCAAAGAAATATGAAATATGTTCAAAGTCTGCTGAAAAATCTAATTTGAGAAATCGTACAGAGTCACAAGACAGGGGTATTCAAAATAAATGTATAGATTGTGTTACACCAAAAATTAATGTTGAGACTTTGAAATACAAATGTTCAAAGTGTAGCTATACCTCACAGAACTTAACCAATTTGAAAATCCACACACACATACATTCCCGTGGTGCACTCTACAAGTGTACGGAGTGTGAGTTCTCCGGTGCTGATCTGAAGCAACTTATTAAGCATTATGATGATGTGAAAGAAATGCAATGCCAATGTGGGTATTCTACACATGTTAAACAACAAATGTCTATGCATATGAGGTCTCATACTGGAGAAAAACCGTTCAGCTGTGGTATTTGTAACTTTTCAACAAGCGATAGAGCTGGATTACACAGGCACATGAAGACGAAACATATCATGGAGTAAGCATGTAAAGAAAATAGGGAAATCTTGGATGTTTTGGTAAAACTATCAATAACAACTATAAACTAGCAACATCTATTGTATGGAAATGAATAAATATCAGGGCCGGTTATGGCACCAACCGGCAATGCAATCCTAGGGGCTCATTTTTTCGAAGACAGCTCTTTGTAAGTTGATGAAGGATTGTGAGTAATAGCATCAGCAGCATCACCTGACTGATGCGCAACTCCTCTGGAACTAGCAGTAAAAGCAGGGACCCTAGGCCCTTGCCTACTCTGCCTAATGGTTAATCGTGCCCTGTATACAATTTGTAACAGGAAGGATAGCAGCAGCAACATAAATATCCTGTCGATATGACTCGTGGCAGTGCCATGCTTCGTCACGCCTGGGCTGGCTCAACTGGAGTGATACCACAGCCTCACAAAAAACTGTTTACTTTGTTGGAGGGGGATACTGGCGAATAAAAACCATCCCCTGACTTTATTGGGAGGGAGTGGACTTCAAAGGGCGGTCAGACTTATCTCCCTCAAGTTGCGGGTGTCAATGGGTGACAGTAGTCACTAATTATGAGGTGACCCGATGGGTTGTTTTCCCTATATAGCAAAAAAAAGAAAGGTGACGTAGAGCACTATTAATTTTAAGAAAATTAATTATCTTCACTGCACTCTTCGCAATTTTTGTTGGGAGCCCTTCGCAGGAATCAGCAGGGCAGTATTATGGCTTGTCCACAACACCACGTCATCACAACGTGGAATGGCGCGGTGTCGCGGCGCGTCACGTGGACGTGACTGGCAAATTTACGATACTGTGTCCAGGGGCGACCTTAGGCGGAGGCCGTCCGTCTGGGGCCTCGCGCATCAACCCTAGTGGAAAAATATTTATTTGTATTTCGTGCAATATCCCTCGCATTATAAAACTCACGTTACCTACGCTACTCGTCGTAATGTGGTATTTATTTACGATTTACGTTCGGGTTTTTCCCGTGTTTCATTTTGGCTGTTATTTTGACAGGCTGTCAGTGTCTACTGTCGTCGACTCAGCTTCTATGTTCGAGCAACAGTATGCGTTGCGTTGCATTTTTTATGTCAAGTATCATCATTAAAACTAATTCAACAAAGACAATAGCCTCGCAATGATCTACCCGCCCGAGGCCTCGCAATGGCTAAGGCCGCCACTGACTATATCGTAAAAACGCACGTCAGTTGTAAATAATGTCTGCCAGTCATAAAAAATATTTCAACAAACATCCTTCTGGTCTTCGATTTTTAAGTTTTATCCTTAAAGTCATCTATTGTCGTATCCCAGACTCCTCAATAGTTTCTCAAACAACTCTTTTGCATCCAATCGCTAAGATAATGAAACATCAAATGAGCGAGCGCATAGCAGTCACGTGCCGCTTCCGACACCGGCATGGCTACATTGCCGTACCGTGCATTAGCACGTCACGTCAACCTGCCGCGCCGCGACCATACAGTACTATATACTTGTACAATATGAAAGCCGCGACACCGCACGGCTCCACGTTGACGACATCGTGACGTGTAGCCAATATGTTGATATCGATTAAAATCGATATCGAAATACTAATATTAACAATCAATATTGTTAAATGTACTCGTATATTATACCATTTATTAAATTAGTATCAAAGTTATTGTCTTGTATTATTGCTTTTCCCTCAAAACCCACTCGTTAAGCAAAAACTTCGAGCGAACTCTGAATAGGATTGTAGAAGAACGGAAATTAAGTTCCTCCAACCCATGACCCAACGGTTGATGTTGAATAGTTGTAAGGTATATTATATGTGCTAATCGGCTTTCGAACTTTTCATATTGCGATACAGGATTAGCAGTTACTCTGTAGTTCGCTGTGTTTTTGGTAGATGGCACTACAGTATGTTGTTGTTTCATTGTATTTGGAAGTCGCCACAGAATCACTAGATTTATTATCCTGAAGTGAAGGGAGAAACGCGTAAGTTTATATATGTACATAGTAAAGATGCCTAACTTAGACTATAATATCTCCTTAAGCACGGAAGTATAAGCCGTGTCGCTGAAGTTACCGAAACTCCCCCCCCCCCCCCCCCCCCCCAGATAGAAAATCTTCCCACTGTGCATTCTATGCCAACAGAAGTGGTGCAGTGCCTTGTATAAAATGGGATCCCCTTCCCATTCACTTTTCCATATTTAGGATCTCTCTATTAATATCATCACACATCACATCAACAGCCTTTAATATCGTACCTTTTATCCTTTCTGTTAATATCGTATGCATTTTATTAGAGGCCCACTTTTTATTACAAGAATGGACCTTTTGACTCTAAGGCAGTAGTGGGGGGAGCTCTTCGCAAAAACCTCAGTAAATAATGTGACCCAGATGACGTAGCGGTGCCCCGTTAGTTATGAGTGCTCCGTTCGAATAAAGAATACAGTTAATCACAATTCATCATGATGAAGGCACATTGAAATCAATACTAATAATATAAAATTGCGAGTAAATGGTTAAACGCACTAATCTCAAAAACTAACGGTTCGAATTTGCAAAATCTTACCTTTAGATGGCGCAAATATTCAGGTAGACTATATAACATTACGCTACGACCAATAGGAGACCAGAATCAATGGAAAATGTTGCGAAAACGGGGAAAAATTATTCCTATTGAGAGACGCAGGCGAAGTTGCGAGGGTCAGCTAGTCAATGATGCTTTTTAAAAGACTATTACGTGTAAGAAAGGTAAGGTAAACAAGGTATTTGTGTTACTATTTACTTATTAAATTGTTACAGTATGTCATTTATAAATTATTAAATAAGTATGTTCACCTAGATAATTTCCTGGGCATTTTTAGGGTTCCGTAGTACTAGTATGAACCCTTATAGTTTCGCCATGTCCGTTTGGCCGTCCGTCCGCGGTATATTAAGAATAAAAGAAAATCATTTTTAGGGTAGGTATTTCCCGTACACATAAAGTTGAATTTATTTTTTAATTTTTGGCTCACAGTTTGGGTCATAATTGGATAGTTCTTTAAAAATTATTCAGGAGTCGTGAAGACTATATTTGGTGTGAAACGTTTGCGAAATTATTGAACTTTAAAGTACTAATTTTTGTTTGAGTAGAGCGTCCCCAGTCTAGAAGCCGAAAAAGTTCGTGATGCTAGTATATCTAACGAACTTAGAAATAAACTATAATGGCTAATTTAGCTTTGTTGTTTCATGTAATAGTCGCCCAATGTCGACTAAACATGCGTAATTTATTTACTTGTTACTTGCTATCTATGTTGTAACAAGCGACTACGGAACCTTAAATTGCGCGTGGTCCGACACGCACTTGCCCGCTTTTATTGAGTGACTCTTTTTGGCATAGCATTATTACTATCAATAATTATGCAAACCAAATGAATTCTTAAACCATTGGGATACAATCTAAAATATTTCAACAAACATTGACGCGACTTCGTAACGGCATGAAAAACTTGCTCTAGGGGAGTGGATAAACAATGAAATTTACAAAATCGATGGTCAAAATCGAGATGGAAATCGTTTTTTTTATCGATTTTGGAAATTGTAAGAAATACATACGTTGTTTTTAAACTATTAATAAATCTACTTTAAAAAAAATCACAACTCACCTTATTTAGATCAAAGGATTTCAGGCAGTAAATACTACCAAAATCGCTTCAGAAGCAAATATAAATTAAAGATGTCTGATGATTTTAGTAATCTTTGTTCTTTGTCGGAGCATCATGGAATTGTTAGGTTGAAGTGCTTATTATATTAAACAACTTCACTGCTGTTAATAAAAAGAAATTAAATTAAAAATGAACAGACTATAAATGTTTCGGAAATCGATAACAAAATAATTTACTCTTGGTTTATATTCGATTTTCGATTCAAAAGTTATAAAGAAATCGATTAAACATTGGCAGCACTTACCTCTACACAAAAGAACTTGTTATTATTATACGGGTGTACTTAACCTTTTATTTTCATGTTTCGCTTTAATTTTAACGGAGAAACTATAGAAATCAAGAAAAAACGCCATTAATGTGAACCTACTAAGAATAACTCCACTTAATCTGTGTAAAAAATCACTAAAAGGTATGTGTTTCATTCAAAATAAGTATATATTATCATAATTAGATCACAGCGCAGTATACTCGTGTGCAGTTATTTCATGAGAAGACTTATTGTTTCTTTCATTTATGAATAACAACGCCATTTTGTGGGCTCTCAATGATATTTCTGCGTTATGTTTACGTTAATTTATATAAAATAATATGCTTAGTGCCGTGATAAAGTGTTTGAAAGTGTGATTGTTGACTTTTTTACGAAGCGTCGGCATTTAACTATATTCGGATGAAAAAGTTTGTATACCAAATAGTTTTGTTTCGCTAATTGCTTTGTTTTCTGTACTATAATCATGTTATTACTACCATTCTTAATATTCGTACTTAATAACTATTTGACATTACTAAGTTATAATGAATCATTATTTCGTAATAATTGGTCAGTAACTCTAAACATCCGGCCCCTGCACGGAGACTGTTTTTGAAGAAAACTAATAATAAAATAGCATGAGTTTTATTTCTATGGAAACAAAAACAAACTTAATAACAATTTTTTTGTATAACCTGTATATAATATACAAAGAATGCATATAATATACACAGAATAATAAATTACATATATTATTAAATTATAAAGCTAGAAAAAACTATTGTACCAATGGAACACACAGTATGGTCCTCCTTTAGAAAACATATAGTGTAACCCTTATACAATCAAAATGTCACAATAATATTCCCATATGCGAACATGGAATCTCAAAGTTAAATGAAATATAAACTAAAATTAATAATGAACTGAATAAAATGGATACTTACATAATAAAGATAGCCATTAGCTTTACTTATCACCCAAAATTAGATCATTGATATGTCTTGAATGCTGTGAAAGTGTCAAAAACAAATAGTGCCCAACTGTATGCCACTAAGATGCTTCCTACTGTATCTATGTGTGTCAGTAGAGTTGTTGTTATCACTAATAATTCCATCTATTTGTATGCACACCAAAACGTTGGCTGGTTGTTTTTGTCGGTGTAGCAACTGTGAGTTATATAATAACCTTTTTGAAAGTTATTAATCCACTTGAAACTAGCCCTATACCTGCCTGTCTGACCAGTGTGGTATAGTAGGCCAAAACCTCCTATCTGAGGAGAGGCCTACGTCCTAAAATAACTTACTATGGATTCTACTAAGGAGTATTATTGTCTTTACAATAACTGTAGATAATATTAGTGGTGATGATCTTAGTAAACTTACCTCCATAAGAGCTAGAATGTAAAAGAAAAGTCTAAAAGTAACAACTTAACTCAACATTTATTTATTATACTCACTTGTTTGATGTGTTCTTTAGCGTGTGTGTGCCTGTGTGTTGTGTTGTTAGGTCTATCTATGATGTTAGAAAGCCACATTACTCATTCATTAGTAGATATCATGACAACCACATATCACATATTAATTTGGTAAATTTTTATTAGTTAGCTACTGTCAATATCTGTTTGTATGCTCTCTATGTTTAAGTTTGTATGCATGATGCCTGGTGATTATGGTATTTTAGTTGCATTTGTGAGGTTTTGTACCCCAACCAACAGTTATGAACGTACCATATGACAACCACTGTTCCAGGGCACTGCAACCTGGTAGAAATATGAGGCAATTAAAGCATATTAGCACGGTGATTAATACCGTTAATTGTGCACAATTACTGCATGGATGGTTTAAACGGTCACCTCACCATTATCTACTGCTGAGTGTTGTTGCTTCGATCTCAACATGGAACAACACTATGTGTGACCACAAACTGTTGTTCAGAGTCTAGGTGGTCTCTGTGTCCATTTCATAAATGTTTGTAAAGTCTCTACTACATAGGGTGTATTCCATGATGTAAATGTTACATGATGTAAAAGTTAGGAAAGTATAATATATCTTTTTAATAATCCATAATGCTTTTCCAGATGTTTTGTGTTCAAGAAAAAGAACGAGCGAATACATTTGCAACAGACAAGGATCCCCTCAGCATTGGATCTGAGTCTGACGATGACGAGCCAGAAGCCAAACGTCTCAAGTACTCTCCGCTCAACCTGCAAGTGTACCAGATACCCGCCTTTAACACACCAAAGTCACTATCAATATACCCAACAAATACATTGCCTAATTTTGTGAATAATCCATTGAATTTAGCGAATCCACTGGCGTTTGCTGCCACAAATGGACAAAATGGAGAAAATATTGTTAAAACTTTACACAACAGGTATGCACATTTAAAAACAAAATTGTTATTATCATTGGCTAAATTTTATTCCATCCCTAGATTATAGGGCAGGTTACAGGGTTATAGGGCCCTACTGTAGTAATAGTAAACTGGATACTGTAGTATACTATGGCTCTACCTAATTTGAGTGATACCAGGACCTCACAAAAAACCCATGTTAAGGAATTGTTACATAGTTTTTCACCAAGTGAGTGAGGTCACCGGAGCCCAAACTGCTCCTCCCACTGATTCTGGTTGAGGACTCAAAAGATATCAATACACTTATGATTCTTAAGTCGCTGATGTCCATGAGCGACGGTAATCACTTAGCATCAGGTGACCTGTCTGTCCTGTAGCATAAATAAACATTTAACTGTAAAATAAATGACTCATTTCTTTCCATAGACAATATTTTTTTTCCAGATATTCGTTGCCATCGAAGCTCACGATAACGCCAGTAGTGAATAATGAAGTCGTTAGGTACAAGAAGAATGGAGAAGTAGCTAAGAAGAGGGGCCCTCCTAAAGGTTACAAAAGAAAACCCAAACCAGATCATTCACAGAGTTTTAATGGAACTTTACAGGTAATTTAGAATAATATTATAGCTTTTCAAAATACTTCCGTCCAACCCTAATGCAGGGGTGAACCAGCTTTCGAAACATTTATTAAATGGATCTTACGAAAGGTCCATAACTGTTGATTTGTCCATCTAAATATTGCCTGTAAGTGATTGTTTAAGCAATAAAAAAACCGTCTTTAATATTTATCTAACATACTGTAATAGGTGTACAATAAAGAATATTCTATTTATAATACCGCCGAAATTCTTCTGCAATGATAAGTTTTCTACCATGCAGCATTATTTTTTACAATGGGAAATAAGAAAATCGCATTTAGCTAAATTTGGGCTGTATAGAGGATGGGTAAATGAATGATCGATCAATCAAATAATCATGCTCATCACACAATACTAGGTGGGAATTTAACACACCATCTTTCACCACTAGAATACTGATCTTTGTTGTATAAATAAGAATAATAACACATTTTCTTTTAAATTTTCAGACACAAAACACAATTTTATCCAGTCTACTGGCAGCTAACAACACAACTATCACAGGAGTTAGTATACAGCCTGCCCTACCGCCAGAGCCTGTGCCAAAAATAGAAGTTCCTGAAGGTAAGGCTGTGACAATATTATATACCTTGACTACACAGGCGTAGTGGTTTAAGCAGTCACCTCACCACTTCCTACTGCGCTGAGTGTTGTGGGTTTGATCCCCACGTGAGACAACACTTCGTGTTATCCACAAATTGTTTTTCTGAGTCCTGGGTGTTCTTTGTGTCCATATCACTTGTTGTTGTTAAAAAGACAACTGTTTGTTGTTGTTGTCTTTTCAAAAAAACTAAAAAAACACACAAACAAACAAAAAAAAAGTTGTCTTTTATGAAGAAAACTTTGCATCGTACTAAAAATTAGGATTCTTGGTTAACATTTCAGAATGTATTTAGGATTTTTTCGTTTTTTTTGATGTGATACTATTAAGGCTACTCAGAGAGTAGGAAAAGTGGAAGGTGAGCGACGTATATACAAAACAAAGTGATACAATTAGATGTTCATATATGCACCTCAGATGCTACATACATATATTATGAACCACTGAGGTACCATACAAGATGTTATAAATATGTTTTAACATTTGAACACTCACTTCCTTATCGCCGAAGGATTAGGAGACGTATTATACACGATCTCTGCATTCTCAGGATCACCAACAGGACCCTGTTTAGTCTTGTAGGCTTCTTAAATATCTAAAATTTGTTTTATTTCTGTATTTTAGGCGTAGAGTTAGTGGAGCTTCTCTTAGACCCTGAGGATTGGTTTCCTGCGGAGCCCTACAAGATGGTGTTCAGTCGTAAGAAGAATCCAAAATGGAAGAATTTTCCTTACAGATGCGAGCATTGTTTTAAGGTAAGTTGAATAAAAGTTAAGTGTGGTATATCTGAAATTAATGTAATTTGAATTCGTCACATTTGTTTGCCCTTTCTTCTCATAAGGCTCAATCCTATAGAAATGGACGGTTGTAGATCAGCACAGGCATATAATAGATTTTTGATACGTATATATTTATTTTATTAAATATTTATTAAAACAGAGTCTACATAGGAGACAATTTCAAACAATAAAAAAATAATGAAATAAAGATATTTTGGGTTTGAGTTAATTTTCTTTATTCTCCGATACCCAAACCTACATTTGTGCATTTAAATATATGTACAGAATGGTAAACGAAGTATCATTGATGAACATGGGATAATTTTACTGCTTCTGGTTGAAAATTCAAGTAATTCAAAGCTATGTAATACTTTATTATTATCTATTATTATATTCTATATATATTATTATTATACTTAAACAATGATTTGTCCTGCTTAACTGATTCATCAATGCATAGCGCCTAAATTTAAACTACAAACTTCAAATTTTTATGTTGTAAGCACCCACAAAGCCAGAATTTTTGGAAATCTCACTCCTAACAGGGTAAAATTGTTCTATCTCACTATGAGATATTCATAAGGGATGTTATCGATATTTAAAGATTAATATAAATAACTTGCAGAGAGCTTCCCATAAATAATAGTTTATTCTTCTCGCTCTTTACACTATCATAGACGGACGACCATAGACATACAGCTACTCGTTACTAAATGCAGATTCACAATTAATATAGGACAAAAATAAGGGATGAACGCTTGTGTGGATTTTCATCGTTTTCAAAGTTGGAAATACGAAATATTAAATAATGATAGGAGCGTGACCGCTCGCTACATAGATGATATTGTGTGGTGGCAGGGCTACCGCGTGGTGTCGACGCTGCTGACGCACTGTGCGGAGCGGCACGGGGCGGTGCCGCGCGAGCTGGCCATCCCCTGCCCGTGCTGCCCGCACGTCTCCACGCGCCGCAAGCACCACAAGAAGCACCTCGAGGGCCACGAGAGCCGCCGCCACCGGATATTCTGCATGTACTGCCTGCCGCAGAGTCAGTATACGCACCTACTCCTCCTCTCGATTGGCCGATCGAACATATTTTTTAAGGCTCTTCTCATTTTTGTTCACGCATGCCATAGAGGCTGCATGCGGTAACTATGCCCGACTACAGGCTACGGGAGATTTAATTAGCACGCTATATAGCCATATGCGGCATGCACAACAGTTGTCGTCAGTCGTTTAGGCTGGCGATGTTTGATTTTCTTCATTCGTAAACTAAAAACTTGCTTTACACCAACCGATGCATTTCATTGGTTGTTATGTCGGGTGCGTATCAAACCCGCGGGCTATATATCGTCTGAAATATCGGTGGCGCATTGTCATTAGTCGTTCGACTCTCCGCATGTTTTATAACGACTGAGTTAACGACCAATGAAAATTAACCCTTACAAAACTAATTTTTTTTTCAAATTTATAAATTCTATATATACCAATATATATATTAATACATAAATTCAATAATAATATTTAAATCCAAGAGGTTTGAAATGCACAGCTATTAATTTTTTTTAATAATTCAATGCTAGTGCAGTACAAGTTAACACAAACATAATCCATAACTTTAAAGCCATTAATCGTATCGTATTAATAGTGTCTCATTAACACAATGTAATGTAATGAGTCATTACATTACATTGTCATTACTAATGACTATAAAGTACCGTAAGATGAAAATGCCTATTAAATCCAATCTTTTATTAGAAAAATTTATATGAAATAACATTATGTAAAACTACATCGCCAATCATCATGTTTTTGATATATAAATATAAAAATTGTAATAACTGTAATTTGTTACAGTTATTACAATTTATTTCAACTACCAAGTTCCACTGATTTGAATAATAATCTATTTTAATCTAAGGTGTATTAACTAGATAAGCAAGCATTATGTCTTGGAAATAATTAGAAAATAAACATTTCATCATCAACAGCCTTAAATAGTCCACTGCTAGACATAGGCCTCTAGGAAAGGTGATTTTGGCCTACTATACCACGCTGCCCAGACGGGTTGGTATAGGGTTTGTTTCAGGTTTTCCTTCTCTTTGGGATGAATGGGGGTGGTGACAGGTAAAACGTTCTAGCTGGCTTCTTTCATAACCGATTTCCTGATGCTAACCATCCTTGGGTCATGTGTGTATTGTAGCGCTTTTTAGACCGTAGAAAGATAATTAACTGCGAAAGTTAGGGTGTAGTAGCAAGAGACCTTCTTACCATACCTGTCCACCATCTTGGCACTTAAGGCTAGCTCACAATAGTCCAATAGCCAGAGCAATACAAACAATTAAAGATTATTTGGAGAATAATTAGGGTGCTAACTTCTTTCTAACAGGATTGGTCAGATATCTGTTAGAATTTAAAATATTGTAATACCAAATTTTTTTTTGTTACTCTTTATTTTTAAATGACATCTCCCGCACTAGGAATATTTCCTATGCCGCGGTTGACTTAACAAACATTCATGAAACGGACACAAAGAAGACCCAGAACAATAATTTGTGGATCACACAAAGTATTATTCCCATATGGGATCGAACCCACAACTCAGCGACTTAGAAAGCCGTGACAGGATCACTTAAACCACTATGCCATCTATGCATTCAATAATTATATTATTTAGGTTGATTAATTAATTGTATTGTTATTATTGCCTACATTATTACTCTATAGAAATAGCGAATAAGCGATTCTGTAAGATAATTATTTTTTATTTATTTTTATATTGTTATTTTTCAGACGACCCTTCAGAGCCATACGTAAAAGAACCTATAAAGTACCCGTACGACAAGTTCCCCCAATACTGGTATGCGTCCGAAGAATCTTTAAGACTTCATAAAAAAAGGAAACATCCCTATGCAGCTATGTTTAATTACAATTGGTTTTGTACGTGGGGTGAAAATCAACCTAATAGCTAATAACAATATCAGAAAGAAGAACAAGTCAATGCGACCTGCTAAGGTAATTATATTTTTAAGTTCGACGCTGGCAACCCACAGTATTTTTAATTTTAGTAGGAATTTTCTACCACTATTTTCCTTTTAGTATTTTTTTGTAAACTAATGATGATTTAGCCTTTTTGTTTTTAAATACTGAATTAATCACGTTTCTTCTTAAGTGGCAACTATTTTAAGTAGCAATTTAATAAATTAAGTAATATGTGATTTTAATAAAATGTATCACAAGATAACAATGATTGTAATTTAAAATAATTTTAGCGTGGCAATACAATTAGTTCTTATGTACTTGTGATCAAAAATTATTCCAAGTTAGTGATATGACTATTCAGTGTGTTAAGAGGCTGGCAACACTTTTTATACTTTTTAATTTGAACTCATCAGTATGAAAAGAAATGGTTAATGTATATTCACAACCCCATTTAAAATAATATTTTACAGCATTATAATCGTAAAATAAATTAAGCAGTTAATTTTAATTTGAAGCACATAGCATTTACCATTAATAATATTAATAGAATCAGTGTTGCCAGCATCAGGCCAGTAATTTTAGCTAAGCATAATAAAAGTAGTATTATTTTATATAAGAAAGCATTTTATCCATATATTATATACATGTAACTAATGCATTTATAAAGATAGTTTAAAATGTGAGGGTAGTAACACCAATTATTTTGCATGTGTTTTATATAAGACTTAATACAGTAATGAAAAATGCCAAACCTGAGCCATGGCTATAGTCTTCTGTTCAGCATTACAGTCTGAACAGCGATCGGGAGGCTGTAGAAAGAATTTTCCCTTAGAATGACTAAAGTATGTGTGAAACTCATACACCGAGTAATAGAATTGGCTGTTTTTCGAAATATGTTTAGTAAGCTGTCATAGAAACTTTCTCATGAATTTATTCAACAGTATTGTATATTTTTGCCCATGGGCCGACTCGATCGGAGTTATATCATGAGCCCACAGAAAAATTGGTATTTATCAATTCTTTCTTTGCTTTTCACTGAGTGAGATTACCAGAAGGTGAACCTGGACACAGGGGCAGCTATGTTATTGTGTTCCTTAACTTTGGATGGCATTTATTACTGTTCATTTTAAATTTCTGTACCTAAATGTTGCCATCCTAAAAGACCTGTAGATTTGTAAGATGCTAGATTCCTATTGCCATGTTCAAAATTAAAATCCTGTTGTGTTTAATACTAGGAGTATTACTGACAATGTTAAATATATCTTTTTGTAACATATTTATTATTACTTAAAATTGCTTCATTATTCAAGAAAGAGCCAATTACATTGCATGGTTTATGATATTTCAAATGAATAAAACTGCCTCTAATATGTGTATGAACGATAAAAGAATAATATTGGTGTTCTAACTCCGTTACAACATTCGTGCCTTCTAAGAATGGCTAACAATAAAATTGAGATTTTAATTTAAAGAATCAAAGTCTACTTAAAGTATGTACCAAATAATAGTCAAGCACCATTTTGTTCTGCCAATTTAAAATTGCCATATACCATTATAAAAGGACCAGTTAAGTCAAACAGTGTTGAAAATTTATTGTAGCCAGTAAAGCGGTGTTACTGAAACTTGTAGTCAAATTTTAGGAGTGTACTGAAAAATTGTTTATCAACAGCCTTTAATAGTTCACGGCTGAACATAGGCCTCTCCTTAGGAAGGATTTTTTGGAAAATTGTTGATTCTTCTTAAAAAATTGATGAAAAACGCGTTTTCTAGTGTACGTGAACAATTCTAAACATTTGACGATGATGAATTTTATTACCAATTTCAATGACTTCGCTTTTTAATTTTCTGATACGATCTGGACATTGTATCAAGTTTTTAAGAATGGAATGTCTCCTTCTTGTTCATTGTATCACCGGGTGAAGACCCTTAAATTAATACTGAATGCAAGCTTTAAAATCACGCTTTTTCCAACAATTAATAGCGCTGTATGTTCTTCATTAAGTCTCTGATACGACCCTAAATAATGAATGCATATTTTTGTGACACCACATATAAAGAATTAGTTCGATTCCGAGGTTTAAAATAAATTATTTCACCTGAATCGTTAAAGTACAACCTGAATCTTCCATTACCATTTTAATGTTATTTTTGTTTCCATATCTTCAAACCAATCAAGATTTTACAATAGTGTGACGTCACACCATAGTATTACACACAAAAACGTTCCGCGTCTATCGTTTTGATGTTCGACAAAGAAATATGTACTGATTTGACTTGACTGATCCCATTGAAGTCAAATTTGTATTTGACTATTTACTTTCAAATTTTAAAACAAAGTTATTTTTTTCACTTTTTATTTCCATGATATATTGTTATGTATATGTACGAGAATTAACGCGATTATAGAACGGGTATTATATGCCTTTTAATTGAATGATATTTCGACCATTCTGTGTGACCACGAGCCGTGGTCGCACCCTGACTGTCAGTCTGTGACCACGGCTTGTGCCTTAGTACTGCCGTTAATTCTATTATATGTACATAATTATATACAATTTTAGTTTTAAAAAACTTTTCTTAGCAAATTTATCTATTTCAATGATAGTTCATGCCTCATCTTGGGACCGACTGTTATACTTAAGTAGACTTTGATGCCGGGGTTGATTACACCCCATCCGCCTGTCCACTCTCTAGGTATTAATATAGCTCCATAATAGTATTTTTATAACATATTGTACAAAAGCTAGTATTTTTGTAGGGTATATATACGCATTTATTAGTAATTATGTAGCCGTGTAATCATGAGTAGAACGAAGTCGGGGTACCAAACTGTTGGTCTTTCGAGCCGAGAATTTACCGATATTAGATATTAGGTAAATACTGGTAAAAGGCTGTATTTCTACTATTCCAGTCTAAAAATAGGTAATTAGTACTAGTTGAGGTAGTTGTGTGTTCTGCATTTCAATATGGTTGCCTTAACTCTATAAAGGAAAAGGTAGGGGATTCCTATTAGTAGGACTATAACTCCCGATATCTTCTTTCTATTAAATTACCGTTTATCTAGTGGCACTATAGGAGGTGCCTATAAAATCTATGAAACAAAACTATACATTTCTGCCTTCATAGACGAATGAGTCGTATTATTTGCTTAACCGGAGCACCGAACCCCGACTTCGCCCCGTATCATACAGACCAAAACATAACAGTATTAATTATATAAAACTTAGATTAAGATTAGACTTAGTTGTACATTATGTATCGGACGTGACAAAGTTAAGCTATGTAGGTGAGGTGTAGAAAATGATGGGAATTAATTGTATTGTAATTTGTATTAGAAGGAATGAGCATCGGATGTATTTTAAAACCACTTTGAAAACATAAATATGTATTTTTATACACAATTACAAATTTCTTCAGTTTTGAAATAGAATTGGGACAATGTGATAATTTTTAACCTTAAGTTCAGATGTTGGCTAGTATGGAATGGACTTCTGTAAAAACCCTTGGATTTCCCCACGTTCGTAACTCTATATATGAACATATGCGTCAGGCTCGACCGGTGTGATACCACAGCCTCATAGAACACCGGTATTAAACAATTCGGACATCTGACACACAACGCCATCTAGTCTCAAACTAAGCAGAGCTTGTGCTATGAAAACTAGATTGACTGATAGAATACTTATATACTTTTTTGGTAAATACATGCATATCATACATAGAAAACACCCAAACTCCGAAACAAATATTTGCAGATCAGACAAACATTGAGTCCGACCCGGGAATCGAACCCGAGAACTCAGCACAGCAGTCGCAGACGCTACCACTGCACCACCAAAGCAGTCGGTTCTTTCGTTTTTTTTTTAAGTGAAGAGAGGGGGGAGGCTTAAATGGTGGTAACGGTTTTGTGTCTCGTGGGCGGCGGCACTCACTTACCATCAGGTGAGCCGTCTGCTCGTTTACTATACCTTATGCTATAAAGAGCTGTACCAAATTGTGCACCACCCCATTTCTAAGTCATTTCATTATTCAACAATTTGAGAGACCATTTCCATGCTATCCTAGCGAAATGAACTTAAGCCAAAAATACAGAGAGAGTTAGAGAATTATCTTAAAAGATAAGCTTATCATTTCGCTATCAAAGTGAAACATAAAAATTATTAAATCATTTAATATTTTTTATCAGGTAAAACCAGAAATACTTTATATATTTAGGTAAATTATAATTATCATTTATTTAAGGCAGACAGATAGTGATAACATTTTTTTTTCTAAACCTAAAAAAACGAGTTTTTCGATTGTATATACCACAGATGTTTGCCCGGCGCTCTTACACCTTAACTGTGCTTAAATCAGTTGTGTGCACAGTTTTGCTAACAGACGCTTCGCGCCCGCACTAGTGATATGACGTGTCATATATAGTAAAATAAAATCGATCTGAAATCGATAAATATACGCAACAGAATATATTAGAGATTATATAGGGAACATATTAAAAGGAATGGTAGATAAGAAGTAAAGGCAATGGTGAAGGATGGAATAAAAACACAATCAACTGTGATAAATCATATGATTTAAGACATACCTATGACACACACCTATGACATATTACAAATCACTGTGACTTATGATTATTATAACAGTAGCGCCAAACTCACGTAAATAAAATTAATAAAAAGAAAATTCAGTACATTTGCTTCTTCCTTTACTTAAGTTTTGATGGCATTTATCTTTGTCTATGACCAAATCACAGTAGTGATTTATGTTCATTGAAATCGCAGTAACTAAAACCAATCATTACATCATTTTAAATAAGAGTAGCAAAAAGTTCCATCATTAGTTTGGAGAATAACAGCAGTAGGTCATGGAAGTATACCTGTAACTCAAACTGTCTGTTAAAGTCTAAGCCATCTCATCTTAACCTGGGACAGCCATGGTTTTTATTTACGTGTGGGAACCCCTCCGGGGTTTGCGGCGGGCTGGTGTTTCG